CTTCGGCTCAGGTCATAATCTCGCGGTTCACAAGTTTGAGCCTTGCATGGGGCTCTGGCTGATAGCTCAGAGCCTGGAGCCTGCTTTGAATTCTGTGTCTCCCTCTCTCTCTGCCCCTCCTCTGCTCACGCTCTGCCACTCTCTCTCTCTCTCAAAAATAAACATTAAAAAAAAAAAAAAAACAAAAAACACCACACATTATGCTGTGAAAGGAGTAGTCACAAAAGACCACACATTTTGTGATTCCATTTATACGAACTGTCTAGAATAGGCTAAAATAGGCAGAAAATAGATGAACAGCTGCCTAGTGCTGCAGGTGAGTGTGGGAAATGGGGAGTGACTGCTAGTAGGTATGGAATTACTTTTGGGGGTGATGAGAATGTTCTACACTTAGGCTGTGATGGGCATACAACTCTTAATTTACTAAAAACCATCTGATTGTACACGTAATAGATGAAGCTTATGGCATGTGAATTATCTTTCATTAAATACTTTAATACCATTTTCAATAGCACCTAAAATCAAATATAGCAGTATGTTGGGGTAGATCTTACAAAGTATGTACACAACCAGTTCCCCGAAAACTACAAAATATTAGTAGGAAAAGTTAAAGTTAAAGACATACATTAGAGTAAAAAGTGACAGACTTAAACAAATAGAGAAACATATGCTCAATTATTAATGACTAAAAATTGTTAAGATGCCAATTCCCCCCAAAATAGTCTATAGATTCACTACAATCTCAGTCACAACCCAACAGACTGATTTTCAAAGAAAGCCTATTTTGAAATCTATGTGGAAATGTTCAGGACCTAGAATTGCCAACAAAATTTTGGAAAAGAAAAAGTTGGAAGACACACTAATTTTAAGACTAACTATAAAACTATAATAATCAAATCAGTCTGTCATGAGAGTAAAGATACAAATACAAATCAATGAAACAAAATACAGGAATACATGCATACATACACAGGCAACTGATTTATAGCAAAATGCCAGCATAATTGTATAGTGAAAGGACAGTCTTAAAAAAAAAAAAAAAAGAAAATAGTGCTAGAGCAATGGGTATCAGCTTGGGAAAAAAATGTTTCTCTACGCTTATTTTATACCATACAAAAAAATTATCTTGGAATGGAGGAATACAGACAAATGTAAGAGCTTAAACAATAGCACTTCTAGAAGAAAGCATAGAAAAAGACATTTGCGACCTTAGTTTAGGCAATGATTTCTCAGGACACCCGCCCCCCCAAAAAAAGAACCATAAGAGGAGAAAATACCAAATTGGACTTCATAAAAATTAAAAACTTGTGCTCTTTGAAGAAATCATTATGAATGAAAAGGCAAGTCATGTACTAGCAGAAAATATTTGAAATAAATATTTTTGATAAAAGACTTGTATCCAAAATATATAAAGAACTTCTACAACTCAATAACTTGATTTAAAAATGGGGAAAACATCTAAACAGGCATTTTACAAAAGAAGATATCAAATGACCAGACAACAAGATGGTCAATATCACTAGTCATCAAAGAAATATAAATAATAACCACAATGAGATGCCACTATACATATGGCCTAAATTTATGAATGGCTACAATTAACACTGACAATGCAAAGTGTTGGGGAGGATGTGGAACAACTGGTAGGAATGCAAAATGGTGTAGTAATCCAGAAAATAGTTTGGCAGTGGTGTGTAAGGTTTAACATATGCAAGAGGATGGGAGGGGGGAAATAAAGTTTAATATATGCTTACTAATGATTCTGCAGTTTTACTCCTAGGTATTTACACAAGAGAAATGAAAACATGTGCATACAAATACACTCAAACTTCATAGCAGCTTTATTCATAGTATAAAACCAGAAACTACCCAGGGCACCTGGGGGGCTTAGTTGGTTGAGCGTCTGATTTTGGCTCAGGTCATGATCTCACAATTTGTGAGTTTGAGCCCTGCCTTGGGCTCACTGCTGTCAGAGCGGAGCCTGCTTGGGATCCTCTGTCCCCCTCTGTCTCTCTGCCCCTCCCCTGCTTAGACTCTTTCTCAAAAATGAAAAAAAAAAAAAAAACAAAAAAACAAAAAACTAGAAACTATCCAAATGTCTGCTAACAAGTGAATGAATAAATAAATCCTGACATATATATGTACTTGTAAAATAGAATGTTACTCAGACATAAAAAGGGAGCACATTACTGTTTCACCAACAACAGATAAATCTCAAAGCATTATGCTAAGTGAAAAAAGCCAGGTACCAGACACTATGTATTGCATGATTCCCTTTAAATGAAATTCTAGACAAGGCAACAGAGTAGTGAAAGTAGATCAATGGTTGCCAGAGGCAGTGATAGGTGGAAAGGGCTGACTGCAAAGAGGCATGAGGAAATTTTGGGGGGTGAAGGAAATTTTCTCTACTTTGATTGCAGTGGTAGTTACAAAATTATATACACTTATCAAATGCATCAAGTGGTATACTTAACACTGGTGGATCTTATTGTATATAAATTATATCTCAATAAAGCAGATATAAAAACTGACTCAAAGAAATGGAAACATCTAGACCTAAAACTTAAATGACAATAGTTTAAAATCAAACCAGTTGCACATAGTTTGTTCACTTCCTTACTCATTACATGTTGAGTGTCTACAATATACCAGTTTCTACAACATACCATAACATATGGTATATAGGCATTATGGCTAAGGCAGTAAATGAAAAGGCAAAGTCTTTGCTGTCTTGGAGCTTGTATCCTTGTTGGGGAGAAAGACAGGCACAGATGAAAACTGAAGCCAGTGATGGGTTCCATGGGAGAAAAAGTGGTTACGGAAGGGTAGGAAGAGGGGATGCGGTTTGTGGTCGGGGAAGACTTTTTTTTAAAGCAGGATTCATGTCAGACACAGGGACCAAACTCACGACTGTGAGATCAAGACTTTAGCCATGATTGAGAGCCCAACCAACTGAGCCACCCAGGTGCCCTGGGAAAGACTTCTTGAATGAGGTGACATGTGAACAAAGGCTGAAGTGAGGGGCAAGTGAATTCCTAGCATGGGGAACAGTAAATGCAAGACTCCCAGGAAGGGGGTATGTTTGAAATTTTCAAGGTACAATCAAGAAAGCCAGTGTAGTTTGAGCAGGATTAGGGAGGGGAGAGTAGCAAAGGGTGAGTTTAAGAGAGGTTTCTAAGGGCCAGAACATAAAGGATCTTGGATTTCATTCTAAGTGAAATGGGAAGCCACTGACATAAGTGTTCTAACAGAGAAGCGACATGGTCTGACTTTTGTTTAAAAGGATCCTTCTGGCACCTGGTGCATACATAGAATAGAGATTGGGGAATTTTTTTCTGTAGATTTCCAGTATTCTAGGCTTGTGAACCTTATGATCTCTGTGGAGACTACTCAGTTCTACTGTTACCAAGGGAAAACAGGTATGGATAATATACAAAATGAAGGAGCGTGGCTGTGTTTCAATAATACTTCATTTACAAAAACATGCAGTAGGCTGGATTTAATCCTGTAGGTTGTGGAACCCTGGAATAGACTATAAGGAACCAAGGGTGGGGGTTGGTGGACCAGTTAGGAGACTCTGCAATAAAACTGAGCACCTGGGCCAGGACATGGCAGGGGGTGGTGACAGGTGGTCAGATGGGGGTACATTGTGAAGGCAGAGGCAACAGGATTTGCTGGTGATATGTGGTGTTAGAGAAAGAAGTTTTTGTCCTGAATAACTGGGAGAGCAATTATATTCTGGGAGAGGCTCAGGTTTGGGGGTGGGAGAAGAGATTATAGATAAAAATCAAGAATCTGGATTTGGATTTGTTAAGTTTGGGTTATCTCTTAGATATCTATTAAATACACGGAGTTGGACACAGGATCTGGAGCACAAGAGAGGGATTGGGTCTATAGAAATAAATATCAAAGTTTTGATTTGTATAGATGGTCTTTAAAAATAAAACCCTGGGAATGAAGGAGATCTAGGGAGAGCTCATAGATGGGGGTGGTGGGGGGGAGTTTTGGGGCAGTTTTACAGATGGGACTCCCAGATCTTCAGGGACAGATGATACCGGTCTTACATTCACTGTTCCACCATATAGAAGGAGAGAACACTCCATCCCCCAGTTCATGAGGCTAGTGTGTCTTGACACCCAAATAAGATAGGCCAACCTCACGAGTATGTAAGATTTAAATTTTTAAAAAATATATTAGCAAAGCAAATCTAGAAATTCACAGTATGATCTATCAGTGTTTATCTTAGGAATGCAAAGTTGGCTGAAGAGTATTCTATTAATATAACTCACCACCTTAACAGGTTAAAGAAGAAAGAACCTATGATCATCTAAATCTAAAAAAGCACTTGATAACCATTTTTGATTAAAAAGAAGAAATCTCAATTTTGAAACGCAGAGCAGGACTAGATGGGGACTTCCTTAACTTGAAAAAGGAAGTTATCGTCTTATCAGATGTGCCACACTTAATGGAGAAACGTTAGAAGCACTCCTTTAAAAATATACATACATGTATTAAGAAAGGAACAAGGACATCTACCATTACAATCTTCCTCAATAGTACACTGGAGGTCCTAGACCGTGTAGTATAATTAAAAAAAAAAAAAAAAAGATACAAAAACTGCCATTAACAATGATGATTTGCATAGAGAACTCAAGATAAATTACTAGAGATAAGAGAACTTCTGGATACACAATCAATGTGGAAGTCATCAACAGTGTCCTGTCACCAGCATCAAAAAGTTTAAAAACGTGATTTTGTAGAGAGGTTAACTTGCCCAAGCTGGGAAAAGGTGAGCTGGGATGGAAACGGGGCTCCCTGCCTAAGTCCAAGGCTCAAAGTCATTGGCTATACGGCCCCCTGGCGGGACTGCATTCCTGCAGAACGACTGTATCCCACCTTTGTCCGTCCACACCCGCTCAGGCGGTGAGTGCCGGGGCAGGCAGCCTCCCGAAGCCTGCGGGGGCGGGGGGGGGGGGGGGGCGGGGGGTAGGGAGGCTCACCATGGGGAGCACCGAGGCCTGAAGAGAGGCGATGGTGATGGGCTTGGCCTTCTTGTCTTCCTGGCTGGCTGGGGGCAGGATTTCCACGAGGTTCATCTCTTCTTTGGCTTTCTCCCCCAAGCAAATCTGAGAGCGTTTGAAGACAGGCCACCTCAACACCGGAGGGAACCCCTGTTCCACCTGCAGAGACCAGAGAGCCCCACCTGCTCCCCCGCAGCTGGCCACGTCCCTCCCGAGTCCATCCTACCATCCCCTCCTGGGAGCCGGGACACCCACCGTACTGAGCAACAGCTTACAGTACTGCTTCCCTTCCTTCTGGGGTTTGACGGTCCAGGTCCGCTTCTCCTGGTTTAGCTCACAGCCTGCGGAAGGAGGGCAGCGAGGGGGCCGGGCCGGCTCAGGGAGGCTCCCCGTTTCTCCTCCGCCTCCCTCCCCACCCTCCACCCGCCGGACCCTCACTCACCCCAGAGCACGGGTGTGGGCGCCTTCTCGGCCGCGCTGCTCGTGCTGCTGCGGTTCATGACTCTGGGCGCGGGCGCCGGGGTCCCGGCGGCTGTGAGGAAGGGGCGCCCGCCGTGAGGCGAGGCCCGGTTCCCCGCTCCCGCCCGCATCCCGGCCGGCCGCCCCGGATTCCGAGCCCCTGGCGGGCGCAGCCGTCCAACCCCGCAGCCCGGGGCCAGCGGTGCGGGGTGGGGTGGGAGTGGGGGCGACGCTGAGGTTGCCCGGGCTGGAAAGGTGCTGGGCGCCGGCCCGCTGCGCCCGGGGGCCCCGTCGGCGCCGTCGCGGTCCCGGCTGTACTTCCCCTGGCGCCGGACCCGCTCGCCAGCCCGCCTCCGCCTCACCGGCCCTGCGCGCTGGGCGTCTCGGGCTCCCTCACTCCGGCCTCCTCGCAGCCGCACCTGAGAGCCGCCGGCCGCTGCAGGCTGTTAGGAGGCCCGGGAAGGGGCGGCGGGGGGCGTCCGCTCCGTCTTAAAGGAGAGGCCCTTCTTTCCCCAATCCGCTCCTCCATTCGTTGCTCTTCGTGCCTCGGCGCACCTGGAGGGCTCGTTAAAGCACCGAGCTAAGTGCCAGCGCCACAGTTTCCGGTCGTGGAGGGCTGGGTGGGGCTGAGGTAATTTGCATTCTAACGGGTTTCCAGGTGAAGTTGCTGCTGCTGGTCGAGGACCGCGCTGTGAGCACCACCTTCATGGCCCCTGGGGATTCACCGAGGCCTACTGGGTGAGATCGCCTAGCTTGGACTTGCGTTGCCACCCAGTGGGAAGCAGCATTAAGGCTTTTTCCTGCTCAACGCCTTCCTTTTTTCATACCCTCTCGGTGTGGGCCTTTTCCAAGGCCAGGAGGGCCCGTCCCCTAGGGTTTTGGGCCCCAGAGAAGAAGAGCCCTGTTTCCAGAAGGATTTGTCCCACGGACAGGAAGGGGGTGGGGATGAGTTAGGACACCAGAGGTCACCAGCTGTGGCAGCTGGTGAGGAATACACCATAGGGCCCAGTGAGTGACTTTACCAGGGCCAGTCATCTAACAGCAGCTCACAGGGCACTGTGGTTGGGGGTGGTGGAGAGGACGCTGCCTTTCAGCCGGCCACATCCCCCTTTGGCCTACTCACTCTGCACATGCATCATCTCTGGGAGTCAGAAATAACCAGGGATCTCTCTCTTTGAATTCCTTTTCTTTCCTTCCTCCCCCAACCCCTTTTTAAAAATGAAGTATAGTTGATCAGATTGCATTTTTATCCTTCCTTTCCATTCTGGAAACTTCTCACCTACACATAAAGTTCAGTGCTTAAAGTTCAGTGCTTTTCAACAAAAGTGCCAAGGTAATTCAATAAGGAAAGGTTAGTCTTTTCCAAAAATAGTGCTAGAGGAACTGGATATATCTCTCTGGAACCTTGATTGGAGCTTGTGCTGTGCAGGAATCAGCTTTTAGTTTTTCCTTTTTAACATGTCCACTTTATTGAGAAATAATTTATTTCTTAAAAGGCACTCATTTAAAGTGTATAATTTGATGAATTTTGACAAATGTATATACCTGGGTAGCCACCACCACAGTCCAGTTACAATATCCATCACTCTCCCAAATTTTCTGGTTTCCCTTTGCGGTCAGTATCCTCACATCAATGCCTAATTGGCATTAGGCATTTACCTGCTTTCTGACACTGTGGATCATTATTGACGTTCTAGAATTTCATATAAGTAGAATCCTACAGGGTCTTTTCACCAGTCCTTTTGTTGAACAAAATGTGTTTTGAGAGTTACTTACCCATATTGTTTGTATCAGTAGTTTGTTTCTGTTTATTGTTTATCCATGATTTGTATACTCACGCATGTGCTGGTCAGTTTTATGTGTCAACTTGGCTAGGCTATCATACCTACTTGTTCAGTCAAACGCTAATGGTGTGGCTGTGAAGGCATTTTGTAGAGGTGATTAACACCTATAATCAGCTGCCTTTATATAAAGATTACTGTCAGTAATGTGGGTGGGAGGTTTCCCTGAAAAAGTTCTGCCTGTGGACTGCGGCTTCAGCTCCTACCAGAGAGCTTCCAGTTTGCTTTTTCTGATGACCTGCCCTGTGGATTTCAGACTTGTTGCTAGCCCCCAGAGCCGCATAAGCCAATTCCTTGTGATATGTCCCTGACTGATATACCCGTTGATGCATATTTGGGTAGTTTTCAGTTTTAGACATATATTATGAATAAAAATAACATGAACAAGTCTTTGCATGGACATATGTTTTAGTTTTTGTTTGATAAATACCTAGGAGTGGAATTGCTGGATCATTTTGTAAGCATGTATTAAACTACGTGAAACTGTAAAACTACTTTCTGAAGTCATTTTGCATTTCTACCAGTAATGTATGAGAATTCCAGTTGCCATACATCTTCATCAACACTTGGTATTGTCAGTCTTCTTAATTTTAGCCATTCTAGTGGATGTATATAGTGACATCTCTTGTGTTTATTTGTTTCTGTTTGATGACAAGTGAGGTTGAGTATCTTTTCAGGTGTTTACTGATCATTCGTGTATCTTCTTTGGCAAAATACCTGTTTAAATACTTTGTCCATTTTTAAATTGGGCTATTTCAGATTATTCTTACTGAGTTGCAGGGATTTTATGTATATATTGGATACCTGTGTTGTGTCATGTATATGTATTACAAAGATTTTTTTACTCCTGCCTATAACTTGTCTTTTCATATTTTAAAACGGTATCTTTTGAAGAGCAGATAAATTTAAATTTGACGAAGTCCAATGGCTCATGGCTTTGGTATTTGAAGGAATCTTGTTTAACCCAAGGTTGTAAAAGTTTTCTCCTAAGTTTTCTTCTAGAAGTCTTGTGGTGTGAGCTTGTACTTTTACATTTGTGATTGATTTGAAGTTAATTTTTGTGTGTGGTGTTAGCTAAAGGTCAGGTTCATTTCTTTTACCCCTCAAGTGGATCTCCACCCAGTTCATCTAGCACTATTTTTGGAAAAGACTAGCCTTTCTCTATTGAAATACCTTGGCACATTTTGCTGAAAATCATTTAACCATGTACATGTTGGTCTATTTCTAGACTTTATTCTGTTCTATTGATCTGTCTGCCATAGTGCCAACACTACAGTCTTGATTACTGTAGCATTAGAGCAAATCTTGAAATCAGGTAGTTGAGCTCTCCAAATCTGTTCTTCTATTTCAAAAATGTTTGGATGTTCTAGATGTTTTGCATTTTCACATAAATTTTATTTTACTTTTAATTTGAAGAGAGAGAGAGCACACAAGTCGGAGAGAGGTGGAGAGAGAGAGAGAGAAAGAAAGAAAGAGAAAGAGAATCCCACGCAGGTTCAGAAAGAGAACCTGCAGCGGGGCTTGATCCCATAACCCTGGGATCATGACCTGAGCTGAAGAAATCATTGGACACTCAACTGACTGAGCCACCCAAGTGCCTGGATTTTCATATAAATTTTAGAATCAGCTTGCCGTTTTCTACAAAAAAACTTTCTGGGATTTTTATTGGGGTTCCTTTGAATGCATAGTTCAATTTGGGGAGAAAGGACATCACGGTTTTGAGTCATCCAACCCATGAATATGTTATGATCTCTGCATTTGTTTAAAGATTTTCCTCTGCAGTGTTTTATAGATTTTAGTGTATATATACTTGTTATATATCTTGTTAAATTTATTCCTATGTATTTCATGTATTTGGATGCTATAGCAAATAATATATATCTTATTTCATTTTAAAGTCTTATTTATTTTGAGAGAGAAAGGGAGAGAGAGCAGGGGAGGGGCAGAGAGAGAGGGAGAGAGAGAGAGAATCCCAAGCAGGTTCCGAGCTGCCAGTGTAGAGCCCAATTTGGGGCTCAATTTCATGAACCCTGAGATCATGACCCGAACCGAAATCAAAAGTTGGATGCTTAACCAACTGAGCCACCAGAAGCCCCACAAGCAGTATATATTTTAAAATTTCATCTAATAGTTTATTTTTTAAGTTTATTTATTTATTGAGAGAGAGAGAGAGAGAGAGAGAGGGAATATGAGCAGGTGAGGGGCAGAGAGAGAGGGAGGGGCAGAGAGAGAGGGAGAGAGAGAGAATCCCAAGCAGGCTCCATGCTGTCAGGGTGGAACTGGACTTGGGGCTCAAACTCCCAAACTGTGAGATCATGACCTGAACCAAAACCACGGGTCAGACTCTTAACCAACTAAGCCACCCAGGTGCCCCTAATAGTTTTAGTGTATAGAAATATACTATTTGGTTTTCGTCTACTGACCTTGCATTCTGTGATTTTACTAAATTCACTTATTAGTTCCAGTAGCTTTCTGAACCCCAAATCATGACATTTATGAATAGTGTTTCACTTCTTCCTTTTTGTACTGTGCACTATTAATTAATTAACTAATTAATTAATTAAGTGCCTATGTGCTCTGGTTAAGACCTGAGGTACAATGTTAAATAGAGGTAGTAAGAGAGGGTGGCCCTTTCCTTGTTCTTAATCTTAGGGAAAACATTCACTCTTTCACCATCACATTCTGTTGGTGGTAGGTTGTCGTAGATGTCTTTTAATAGGTAAAGGATGTTTCTTTTTATTCCTAGTTTGTTGAGACTTTTTATCATGAGTATTGAATTTTGTCATGTGCTTTTTCTTTATCTACTGAGATGATCGACTTTTTGTCTTTCATTTTGTTGATACAGTGAATTATTTATTGGTTTTCTGAATCAAAAAATTGTTTTAGAAATATTTGGTTTTCTGTTTTTAGAGAGAGCAAGCACACAAGTGGGGGAGAGGGGCAGAGAGAGAAACAATCTTAAGCAGTCTCCACGCTCAGCACAGAACCTGACACAGGGCTTGATCCCATGACCCTGAGATAAAGACCTGAGTTGAGATCAAGCATTCAACTCAGATGCCTCAAGTTTTCTGAACATTTTAAACCGACCTTGCATTTCTAGGATCAATCCCACTTGGTCATGATGTATTATCTTTTTCATGTATTCTTGGATTAAGTTTGCTTATATTAAAAATGTTTGCATTTACGAGGGATGTCATTCTAAAGGTTTTTTTTTTGTTTTTTGTTTTTTGTTTTTTTTTTGTTTTTTAACATCTTTGTCTGGTTTTGGTATCAGGGAGATGTTTGTTTCATAAAATGACTGGCAAGTGTTCCCTCTTCTGTTTTCTTATGTTTTGTGCAAGAGTAGAGAAGTGTCCTTGGATCAGAGTTCAATTCAGGCTCACCAAGAGCTCTGCACTCATCCCTGCATTGTCTCATGCTTCCTCTGCCTTGACTCAGTTGCTGCCCCATTCTAGAACCTGAGAATTCTATTAGAATCCTCTATTCTTTACTCTTCACATCCAATTGGTCACAAAGTGTGTTGATTCCAACCTCCACCCCCTACCTCCCCAATCTTTCTTAGCTCTCCCTCCACAGTCCTTGTCTTGGTTCAAATCCTTATTACCCACTAGCTGATGGGTTAAACAAAGAATGATCACTAGCTTGCTTTGCAAAGTAGCCTCTTGAAACTTGAGGCTTTTAGGATCAAATACTAACCTCTTTCTCTCTCTCTCTCTTTTTGAGAGACACAGAGAGAGAATGAATGAATGAATGAATGAATGACAACCTGAGCGGGGGAGGGGAAGAGAGAGACCAGGTCATAGAATCCTAAAAATTTTTTTTTTTAGGATTTTTTTGTTTATTTTTGAGACAGAGAGAGACAGAGCATGAACGGGGGAGGGGCAGAGAGAGAGGGAGGCACAGAATCGGAAGCAGGCTCCAGGCTCTGAGCCATCAGCCCAGGGCCCGACGCGGGGCTCGAACTCACGGACCGTGAGATCGTGACCTGAGCTGAAGTCGGACGCTTAACCTACTGAGCCACCCAGGCGCCCAAAGACCGGGTCATAGAATCCTAAACAGGCTCCAGGCTCTGAGCTGTCAGCACAGAGCCCGGAGGCGTGAGATCATGACCTGAGCCCAAGTCCGACGCTTAACGGACTGAGCCACCCAGGAGCCCCTAAATCCCAATCTCTTGTGCCCAACCCCTCATTGACATGTGCACTTTCCTTTCAGCCGTGCAATTTTTGCACCCTCGAGAAAGGTACAAGGTGTACAATGCAGCGGCTTTTTGCACTGCCTGAATATTTCCCCCTGCCTTCTTCCAAACGGCTTATTCTGCT